AAATTCCTTGGAAGGTTTCTTAGAGATCCTCATTTCTATAAAAAGTTGAAGCATAATTTAAAAATCGAACTCGGTCAACTCCTAGATATTTATTATCTACGAATCAAAAAAAGTTTACTCTCTGTGACGTTTTGTTACCGAGAACTGTTCCAGCTACGAAACGGTGTCACGGTGAAAGTCGTTTTTGAGATGTAGAGGCGCCAGTATCTGACGCATGTTTTACAGCTTCCAGCAAAAAACTCTCATAATTCTTGATTAGAACATCAGTCAGAGCTGGGAGATATCTCATTTTGATCGGAAATGTTTGCGCTATTTCCTGATATTATTGAAAATACTTTTGGATTTGTGTTTCCATCGGAAAGTAAATATTTTTCGACAGTCAGCTGTTCAAGGTACATGTTAATCCGAACACAGCACTAGAAACTAGAGAAAATTCTGAGTCTTTTAAGCTCAGAACGAAGTTTTTGAAGTTGATATGACTAACCAAAAAATGAGTTGCAACGTGGCATCATTTTCTCTGCCTAACCCGTAACTTTTTGGAATACTGGTAGAAAAAGTCCCGAATGCCAGTGTGAGTTCGAGTACTAGGAATTATGTACTCGTACTCATCCATCTTTGAAGTCGGAAGAGAAAAGTAAAGGTGTTTTCTTCTTCTAGAAAATTAAGAACAAAAAGGTTTCTGACTAGAGATAGGCACGGGTACCGTTTTCCGACTCGAAAATTTGTTTCGTAATTAAGGGCCCCCCACTCAGAAATGGTGATTTTCGGCCGAAATATCGGTTTTGAGATAAGCACATGGGAAGACAGCCTGCAGTGTCTCCTTTCAGAACCTGTATCGGTTTTGGTTACAAAAGTGGTTTTTCGCGGATTTTGAGCAAGTTTTCTAGGAGCGATTGGTTGCAGATGCCCAGAAAAACTTCTCTATATTACGTACCTTCCATAGAATTTGAATCCAGTTTGTTGTCATTTACATAGGACGTTCGCCGATACTACTCGGTTTGGTTGGTTAACGCTAATCTTCGATTGAAGGAAACTATTTTTCTCGAATCAGCCTTAATGATACATCATCAGACGCAGTTTTCTCACGAATATCAACTTTGATTTTAAATTTCAAAATTTAAATTTAATATTTTTGATTGCTTTGATTTCAATTTCCCGACATAGTTATTTCGTCCTAAAATTTTGAGATCTATGCTACTCAATAGAAAACTAAATTCTCTACAAAACGCACCATTTCGTTTGAAGTTTGAACGTCGGGAAAAGAATTCAATAAAAAGAAGGTTTCAACATTTTCACTGTTCTATTCGGTGTTCATCTTCTTTTGCAATTCGAATAAGTTCACATGCATAGGAAAAACAAACTAAATTACTTCGAAACAGTAAAATATACTTGTACAGAAAACGTTTTCCTTGTTAATTGTATCTACACTGGTGATTGTTTAATAATTATTCTTTTTAAAGAGAATGTTCATATTTCTGTTGTTGTTTTATCTAAAATTGAACTATCAATGGTTGTTGGTGATTTATCTATCCCAAATGGTGGTGGCATTGTTTTAGCTGCTGTTGCTACTGCTAAATGATCAGATTTCTTTTTAGCGTTACTTTTGCAATCATAAGGAAGTTGTGCCATTGAACCTTCTATTTCGCGCCAAACTGATTCTATTTCTTCATCACGTATTTTGCACATTTCTTGAACAAAACCTAAACAATAACCGAAAACATATATTATTATTCAACAGCCAAAGTACAGAAGCTATGAATACACTCTAAAAAAAGGGTATTTCAAAAAGCCCTAAAAAGAAATTTCCATTTCCATGAGGAAAACCAAAAAAAAGGGTATAACCGTGCGTGAAAAACGTTTAAAGGGTATAACCATTTCAACCATATCATAACTGTTTAAAAGTTTCTTATTCTTATCAAAAAACTAATTTTTGTTTTCTAAAATACGACTAAATTATGTTCTGAAGAACGGTTGAGGTTTCTTCATGTCACAAAAAAAACATTCAGGTATTTTAAAATCCCAAAGAAATTCAGGGTTTTTTAAATCACGGCCTTTTCCTATTCTAAAAATCCCAAAAGGGTTTTCTGATAAAAGTAAAAACGTTTA